CGTACATGACACTCCCACCTGTTCTCTCAAATCATCGCGGCTACTCTGTGGACAGCAGTTTTACATATTTTGGAGGCTCCAACTGGCCTGAAGACCGGACACCGCAGAGAGTGAGAAATCAGAATCGAGAGTTGGTATGGGAGGGGTGATGACTCATACTACCTCGTAAAAGGCCACGAGGTCACCACACGTGATGTGAGACCACACTACGCCATACTACACTCCACCATGCTGTTTCAGCACTTCTAATTGGCTGACACTGACGCTATGTTGGCGTCATGGGGGTACCCGGATGTTTACACGTCCATATATACTGATGCGGGTGGGCACGATGACTGAGGTACGTGGCTGCGTCATTCTCCTGATGTCTTCTCTCATCTTAAAGAAAGGATTAACTTCTGACCCACCTTCTCTCCCTCCTTCTTTCCTTCCTTCCTTTCTAGAGTATTATCTCACTCATAAGTTCAGGTTTGTTGGCCACTTTCATTCCCTTGTTTGAGGTGGGTGTGAGAAGCTCATTCGGATAAGGCAATAACTGCCCGCCTCGAGACTAGTTTGTTAGTTAGTTATTTGAACCGGTGGTGTTTGTCACACCACTCACCACGCCTAAGGGGAGATTTGGTTTGAAACAAGCATCCAGACAGATAGGACGACAACAACGACAGCACTGTCAACACTGACACCACGGCTACACACACGGTGCGGACATGGTGTAGTAGCATGTGAATAGCATCTAAGATCACTGCCCCACCCATACACCCTGAGTCGTCCAAATGTTCGACGACCCGTGGAACGCGTTTCATTCCTGACGTGTCGAAGCATGAATTGGAGGGTTTACGGCGTGATGCAGCTTACATGCTGCGCAAGCGATAGGACGCAACCTCTCCACCACTTTCTCATTTCGACATATTGCCTTGTGCCTTACCGAGCCATGTAATACATTACATCAAATGTCATGTGACATTTCGGTCAATCCTGACAGCCCAGGTACCCAAAGCATGCGATTCAAAATGGTGCTCACTGGTCCTTCCGGATGAATACGCAACAATCCAGCCACATATGCAGGAGTACTTCATTTTGACAGACATTAGTGCCACCCTTTTCATCAACGCGCAAAACACAGTCACTTACACACACGAACACCAAGGTTGCCTAAAATAGTGCAAAATCAGCAAGTAAATCAACGTGGTAAACATGCCTACCGACTTGTCAAGTAGCACATTCCAGCCTGCAATGACGGGAAAGTTGGCTCCGTGTAGGATTGGAGGCAATGTCCTCATTCAAGTCTCCTAATGTGACCAGCTTGGGTCAATGCTAAGATGGATAAAAGGAAACTCTACGTAAATGACGACGTGACGATTTAACATACCAGTAATTGTGTCGGTTCCCTGAGGTTTTGTTCTGCCGCCTACGTCACCTTGATGTGCGTAGTTTGCAAGCACTTAGCAAAACAACTGCTCAGGTACTTTATCCTGGACAGAACTGCAACCTCACAATCCTGAGAAATCACACCATCAGATTGGCATGCCGAACGAGCCCAAAACACGAGTCCCATCTCATCTACTGAATCCAAACGCATCTGTGGACAGTCACACACACTGCCAGGACACCACCCGCAAGTTTGTTTACTCGACCCAATCCTATTCCCTACTCACGAGGCTGCAGTAGCCTCGGGCTTCGTGCTGGGTGACCGCTTCGCCCCAGGCTAAAATCAACCAAACCAATTTACAAACATGGCATGCATCTGTATGCAAGCATAAACAGGCATGATCGTCACCGAGACGGGCGCTCTACTCGTCCTGAGGAACTAGTACAAAGGCATAAATCGGACAAATGTAGGATGGCATGTTTGTCTGCCTCTCATCCAGCAGCACTCGAAGTCTCGCCTTCCGAAATACCTCCAACAGCTCGTCATGCGTTCGCATAAAACTGCTGTCCACCTCATCGAAGTCTGACTTCGCACCTGGAAAAACATTGTCCTTCAGCACAATTACTGATTGACCCACTGGGTCTGTGGCTGTACCTGTGGCTGTGGAGTCGCACGGTCGCAGTCCGGCCACGCAGCGACGAAGAAATTCGACTGTTGCAGACAGTGTCAGATATCCGATAACCCATTGCACCCAAATTATATCGTAGCGTCCCTCTGGCGGAGTGAAATCCTGCAACGCACAGCAAAATCGGTTGCCAACACGGTCCGCATTGGGCCGACCGATGTAGGCTGAGGAGGCATCGAGGAACTTGCCTGTCATCTCCACCATATCTACGGTAGTGAAGTGGGGCAGCAGAAGGTGCTTTGTGATGCGTCCGATGCCTGCTCCGCAGTCCAATGCACACTCTCGCAGACTCGGACCAAAGCGGGCGAGGATAGACTTCGAGCCAGCAATGTCGGGTCGATGCACCCGGCTCAGACCACCCAGCATCCCATTCACTGTCGCGTCCACGCCGCTCCAGTATTTGGCAGATTTCAAGTAAAAATCCGGTGGAGTGTCCACCTCCTCATGATCATCCTCACTCTCTACTTCCTTCTTCAATCTCTTACTCTTCTTCGTTGAAGTGGTCTCCGACTGTGATGGCGGAACGAAAAGACATGCAATCAGTGCACACAAAACCACCCACCCAGCGACAGCAGACGAATGATGCTCTGAACTGGGCTGCCATAGTCATGTCAGGTAGACAGACTTCTCAGTAATAGTATTTGTTTTCTTTCTCAACCCACCACTACAAATTTGTCTAGGCAATGAAATGGCAATTTCTGGGCAACGGCAAAATCACAATCACCAAGACTACAGGCTGACGCTTTCCACGCTGACGATGTTGAAAATCCATCCATTTGGCACAGTGCCGACTCAAACATCCCGATCCACAAAGTGATCAAACAAACCAAGTTGGACGAAGGGGGTGGATGAATGAGAGGAAAAAGAGGCATAAGCAAAAAGAGTTTATTTTCGCCTTCTCTCCTCATTTAACTGCACTTCATTTCACAAACACGTGTGGAAGGTGGGACAAGGAGGCAAAGAGAATAGAGGGGAATGGGAAGGTAGGAAAGAAGCGTTGCCGCCTATTCAGTTGCCGAACCTTCCCTAGGCATTAATGTTGTTGTTAGTGCTTCCAGTGGCAAATATTTCCTCACGCCCGACGTTGAGTGAACGAGGGACTCGTACCTAGAAGGAAGGATTTTAACAGAGAGACAGAAAACAGGAATAACAATATTAACATGGTGACAAAGCAGGCACTTAGAAATGCCGAGTCTATCCTGTTGAATGCATCAGTTACTGCCTCGAGCACCAATGTAATCACAGTCTCATCTCCTGAGTAACGAAGGCATACAACTGAAATTCACTAACGTCTACCCCTGCATAGGACATTTGAATGATATCCACGTTTGATTGTCAAGGACAATTTCAGCAGTAGTAATTTCCAGCCAACAGCAGCGACTTGTGCTCAGTAAACTTGACATCGGAAATGCACTTGAGGTTGACGGTCGTCAAGCCCACGGATCCACATCCTGTATGAATCCTTGTCACCACAATTCAGCAAACAAAGGATGTGATGCACTGATCCCACTGAATCCTACAAAAATCACTACTATCGCGGGTTTTGGAGGTCCTCTACGCGTGACAACAAATAATTTTACAACCCTATTTCTTCTTGGTGTGGTTGATCAACGATAATAACCAATCAACGAAGAGGAGATTAAAAAGTGTGGAAGGAACACTTACCAAAGATGGGAGTGGTCGGTGCTTGAGCTGCAGAGTTTGCGAGGCCTCCGAAACTAACCCCACCCGAGGAGCTTCCCAGACTTTGGCAAGAACAAGAGAAATAAGTCTCGAATATCGGTGGTTAGAGAAATCTCTCAAAAACAAAACGAAGTGACGTGCTATAACCCATCCAAAAAGGAAGTTTAGGAAGTTGTTTGTCAATAAAACAGTTGTCCAGTCTCCAGCAAATCCACCTACATGATATTGTCAATCTCCCATCTCTTCCGTGTACTGGTAAAATATCAACCTTTGGGCAAACATCCACTGAAACACCTCTAGGCGTGAATTGGACACTGCAAAGTTTAATGAAAGAGATGTACTTACGAAGCAAAAAGGCCGCCAGCTCCGCCACCAGCGCCAGCAGTGGCACCAGTTGAAGGATTGCCAGCTCCAACCATTCCTCCAAATGGGCTTCCCCCAAACACTGCGGGAGCTCCGAAACTCGGCGCGCCACCGAATCCACCTGCTGCAGGAGACGAGGTCGAAGGCGAGCCAAACAATCCACCACCACTACCACCGCTACCAACGCTGGAGGAGGAGAACAACCCTCCAGGGCTACCACCACTACTGCCGAACGCAGGTCCACCAAAGAGCGGACCACCGGCCGTGGCAGAAGAAGGGTTGCTGAAAAGTCCACCACTTCCACTGAACAGACCACCAACACCACCGCCAACAACACTGCTGCTGCTGGTGGTGGTGGGGATTGCAGCAGCAGTCGTCTGATTGGAGAAAAGACCTCCACCACTGCTACTGCTTAGTGTTGAAGGGCCAAACAAACCACCCGCTTTTGCTGTTGCAGTGAGGTTTACAGGTGCAGAAGGAGATAGTGAAGAACCAAAGAGGTTCCGTGCGGGAACTGCAAAAGAATGGAAGAAAAGGATTTAAGTTGATCTGGTCAAATGGTGGAGACAACCTACAATTAGTGGTATTCAAGGTTGAGGGGGCTTCCGCAGTGGAGGGTTTGCCAAAGACGTTGGCATTGGTAGTGGAATCTGACTTGGATGTCAAGCCCAGTCCGAAGTTGGACATTGCGAAGAGGCTAACGCGAAAATGCAGAAGTTACAGAAACAGTGCCAATGTGGAAGAAAAACGAGGGAAGAAGCAACAAGCAACGAGTGTTTGAGCCAAAGGAAGAATTTGAATTCAAAAGTGTGGAAACCAACTGTGATCACGCCACATGCAGCAACATAGTCAATTGGAAAATCACACGAAGGATGACTTTGTTTACCATGATAACGTGAACAGTCATTATGGAATAATGACACCTTCGACAAGTTAACGCAAGCTGTGAGACGAGCCCAGAAGTGTGAAATGCTGGGCAGTGTGCTTATGGGACGTTTTGACAAGCCTATATTCATTACCTACGCCCGAATTCACAACAGCCATTAAAGTGATGGAAGCGTGTTAATTTAACACCGAAGACGAAGTGAAGCAGGCTGCTCTAAGACGCCTCAAAACTAAGATCTCTGAAGCCCCAATTCAGCTTGAATATCCCTCACCACACTTACTTGCTAACATTGGAGACGAGCTGGAGAGAAGATGAGGCCGCATTGGTAGTGGTGATGGTTGTGGTGGAGGCAGTAGCTGAGGTACCAAAAAGTGTACCAGTGCTGCCTTCTGCGAGTTTGGAAGAGGCGAAGAGATTGCTTACTCCTCCCCCATTTGTTGAAGTGTTGCCTGAGGCAAAAATAACAACTCACTTTCTCAAAGATGCATAGTTAACACATTCGTGACGCATATGGGTGACACCACGACAACTGAAGGCAAGTGTGCACCGTTGCTCTAGTACTTCTTCATCATCTTCTGCAAGCAATCCCAGTTTGAAATAGAAACCAAACTCAAGGTTTTGTCAGATGAAACTCATTGGTGGGAGAGAGGACAATATCAGAATTCTCCACCCTATCGACGAGATCTCAGGTCCAATACAGCAGCCTGCACCTCAACTGCATTGGCAAATTCTAGGTGTTTTCTAACGAGGCTGCCTCTTCACCCTCTAGTTGAATCCCTTGAACTACTGGCTTTGCACAGCCACTGAGCGCATCATCAATAGGCGTGGAAAGCAATGACCACCCGGAAAATGCATGTACTCACCATTTCTAAAGTCATATTAGAGTGGAAGTCGTCTAATCTCTCCATGCGAAACAATACCCTGAAACAGCTCTACCACTTAGTGAATACAATGCTCCCACCCAAATAAATGATGACACACGAATTTCACACCCACCAAATAGTCCACCTGCTTGTCCAGTGGGAGCGGTGGAGAGTTGACCTGTGGTAAAAGATGTTTGAATTCAATTTGAAAGTGAAATTCAATGGGGAGAATAGGAGAGGCAATGTCGCAAAGGCCTCTCACCCTCACTAAGGCATTGAGGAGCATACAAGGAGTGGATTGGGCTCACTTACCAAACAATCCACCAGATGCAGGTGCATTGCTGGCAGGTAACTGACCTGCAACAACGAGAAAGAGGAAATTGACATCGAAAACTGGAAACCAACCAAAACAGGAGATCTTTGATGAGCGATAACTAACCGAACAGTCCACCAGTTGGGGGTGCAGTGACAGTTGCAGTATGACCTAAAAGAAAATTAGACGAGAAAACGATTAATCTGCCAACAATCCAAAGGAATACACATTAAATCGAATTGCCAGTTTTGTCCCCTTCTATCACTCACCAAATAGTCCACCAGTTGGAGCCGCAGGGCCAGCTGCTGGTTGGCCTAAGAAAGAACACAGAAATGACATCAGCAGTGCAAACAAATCCTCATGTATATTTGGGGAAAACACACTACGCATCGCGATTTTTAAACTCATCAGCAGACCGATTAACAATTTTTGACAGTAGGAAGCCTATCATAGATAACAGAGCTCAATAAGTAATTGGCCGGTCAGAGGACCCACATCATTTGCCTCCCGAACAAACCTCTGCCTGGGGGAGGAGATTGCAAAACAAATGACAACAGCATTGCAGTTTGCTAAGTGACATTTTGAGTGCAGAAAATAATCTACTTGTTAAAAAGGGAAATGGATGATTTACCGAAAAGACCGCCAGTTTTGGCACAAACTGACTGGCCTATGGGAAACACAACAAGTTCTCACTTAAGGAGTCAAGAGTATTGTAACTGCTTCCCACAGAGGAAAACCTCAAACCGACCCAACAATTCACACTTCGGTGTGATGAAGTTGTCACCACGCCATTGATAAATACAGATAGACAGTTGGATGACAAACCTACCAAATAATCCACCTGACTGACTAGATGTGGGGACAGGAGACTGACCTAGGTGGAAAAGGGGCAAAATTTCACCGAGACAATTTCGATATACAAGTGATGGAAGAGTTGTGGGCATACCAAATAAACCAGTAGATTGCCCATTCGTGGTAACAGGTGATCCTAGAGGAGTGTGGAACGTCTTGGTAAAAGTCCATTTAAGAGGAGACACATCAGTTCATGACCAACTGCTTACCAAATAAACCTCCTCCAGTTTGGCCGGATTGAGCTGAAATGTGAAAACAATAGCCATGACTGAAAAACCATCAACCAGCTATCAGTCAGTAATGACACTACCCACCAGACAAGTTACCAGTCTGAGCAGTGGCAGGAGCTGGAGACTGACCTTGAAAGAGATTCGAGGTGTTAACTCCGGCAACCGGTAAATAGCCAATCAGCCAGTCATAACTCACCGAATACATTACCAGCTTGTGTGGAAGTGGGAGTAGCGGGTTGGCCTACAAATCAACAATTTCCTATTCACAAAATTATTCCTCGAAAATCGGTAAATAGCTGATAGGCAAGTCCGAACTCACCGAACAAGCCACCACCTTGAGCAGAGGCGGGAGAGGCGAACTGGCCTAAAATGGGGCAAATAAGTGGCAATGGAAAATTGGCCCTCGGAAATCGTTGACTGAACGGTGGCAATCGGGTCAAAAAAGCCAAGTCGGTGGTCACTCAATGATTCTGTGGCTGATTAGAGTACTAAACATTGACAACTAATGTGACCAGTCCTGCTCACCGAACAGTCCTCCTCGCGCTTCGACAGCTTTTGTGGCTGATTGGCCTAAAGTGCCAAACGCCTGAGTGTCATCGAAAATTAACAACTGACAGATAGATCAGATACGGTCTTTAAAAATGGCCAAATGTCTGACATGGACGGACCCAGAGGGAACAAATTTACGGGTGACACTGACAACTGACACTGCGGACGCTCAAGTTTCAACAGCGATTTCGTGCATATAAGGAAGCATTCACTAGTTAAAACTGTAGTGCTAAATATTGCTTGATTTTGACAAGAAGATTACTAAGTCATTAAAAAAACTGCACTACCGAATAATCCACCAGTAGAAGCTGTGGTAATGGTCGGTGTCTGACCTACGATTTAAAAATTCCAGTGAATTTCCATAATTGACAAAGTCATTGGCCAAACAAACAGAGGCTTTCACTCACCAAATAGGCCCCCACTTTGGCTGGCAGATGCGGCAGCCGGTTGCCCTGAACATGAGACATGTGCGAGAAGATTATTACTTGTCAATTTACTCAATGTTCATTTCATATTCAATTTATGTACTTAAGTTAATAAGTACCTTATTGCTTTCAGATAACCAGACTCACCAAGTAGTCCATCAGGCCGTCACGATTGCATTACTGAAAATACGTGGTATAGAAACGTACCAAAAAGTGCCACGACTGGTTGAGTTGATGCAGTGGCGGATGATTGACCTACAAAGTGAGGACAAACTGCCATCAGATTTGTGTCGGAAATGGACAAGGCGTTGGTGGAAGTGAGAGGACACTCACCAAACCCTCGGCCTGGCTGACTATCAGCAGTTGTAGCAACAGCACTTCCTGCGGATCAGTGAAAGCGACATGTCATCGCACAGCGAGAAACATTTGGTGCGCTGATGTCACCGAGCATTCAAGGATAGGCTTAACTCACCAAAAACTTGAATCGGTGAGGTACTTGGTGCTGTCGTAGTAACGGTGGTTCCTAGGATTGGATGATCAAACAGACTCTCTATCAAGCACTGATAACTGAGAAAAGAAGAAATTGGGACATTTAAGTTCGAAAAATGCTCACCGAAGACTGGATTTGGTTGACTAGTGGAGACAGTGGCAACGCTGGTGGTCCCTGTGAATGAAGTGTCAATTCACCTCCATAATGAGGGTCGAAAACGCCACAATTCAAACAAGTTCATTCAAATGGACAAGGAGACGATGGGTGAGGGAAACGGAGGTAGAACTCACCAAACAATTTGCCCGGTTGAGTGGCGGCAGCAGTAGTGGCAACAGCGGTCCCTAAAGTGGCATATCGATTGGACCGATGTCAGAAACCGACAACCGATCAAGCAATCAAACGCAGAGCCTACTGTAACAACGGCTGATGCTGGATCAGTAGTGCTCACCTAATGTTAAGTTTGGTTGAGTAGCAGCTGAAGTAGCAAAAGCAGTCCCTATACATAAGACATTACACCGCACCGTGAGCGGAAAGCGATAACCGATAACAACCGCTTTAAATAACTGCTTGAACAAGAAGACACAGTACTTACCAGACATGTGCCCGGATTCGCTAGAAGCAGCGACAGCAGCAACAGTAGAAACAGTGGTCCCTAAAAGGGGAGTAGGAAATTACTTTTCGATGACAAATTCACACCTCTTTGAGTAGCGTAAGCAGATCCTTGCAGACGAGAGACTACTCACCAAGTACTTGGCTAGGTTGACTAACGGCAGCACCAGTAGTAGTAGTAGCCACAACAACGTTCCCTATAGACGAAAGGGAGTTTGGAATCATCGCATGTCCGAATTCATTTTAACAGGGATGGGAGGAAAAGAACCCACCGAATACTTGATTTGGCTGACTGGTCGCAGCAGTGGTGACAACTGTACTTCCTGCGAATTGAAAATGACATTAATTTGTGCCCGAGAATTGGTAGAAGATGGAGGTGGCGGTTCAAACTCACCCAACAATCGACTTGGCTGAGTCACAGTCACAGTAGTGGCAATGCTTCCTGGTAAGTGCAATGGTATGTTAGTAGGAAACAAAGACTGTCTGCCTAGTTATTTAGCAAAAGAATTCAATGAAAGCTGAAGTGGATTTACCATCAGTTGCAGTGTTTGACTGACCTAAAAGGGAGGGTGATAAGA